TTGCCAAGCGACGAAAACCCAATCCCGATAGCAAACACCGGGGGGGGAGGGGGGAGGTATGGAAGGGCATCAAATACATGGCCTAGTGCCGAGTACATGATCGCAAAGCTTGCCCATTCATACGCGCGTCTGGCATGCATGTACATATGAATACGCAAGGCCATCAAAAACAAGACCAAACGAAGACACGACAAGTACAACAGAAAAAAAAAAAAACGAGCGTAGATTTAAGACAACCCATGCATTTCCCAAGAGCGTACATACGCTCTGCAAGAAAATCAACTTTCAATGGAAACCTGCGAAACCTTGTTTGATGGGTCACAAAGAATGGCCGCAGGTACATGCCGTATGCATGGGCTGCACAATATACCACTCCCGCTACACCAATTTTCAAAGCTCGGTTTCTCCGAGACAAAGAAGGATGCCGATATCAAATTATCCGTTTGTGGAAAGCTCTCCACGATACTGTTCCACCGCTATTCTTGCCCAGTAATGAAGCTTTCAAAAGCGGTCCACGGGGTTTGATATCTTGTGCAAACTACGGTACACGCATGTCCATACCTGCACGTGCTTGAGGTTGGGGTCGGCCTTCCCGGGCCCCGTGCCCTCCAGCAGCAGCTTCACCACCTCCGGGTGTCCGCCGGCGGAGGCGTACATGAGGGCCGACACGCCGTCAGGGTGCATGTCGTCCACCTTGATGCCCTTGGCTACCAACGCCTGTTGTTGTCGCCCATTAGAAAAGCAAAGGCAGAGGAAATGCATCCTTGTCAGATTGGGTGAGATATGGGGCGAAGTCCGTTGGGGGGGGGTGTACTCATAGTCGTGCATGCCGTAGTCGGTAGACCATTGACCTCGCATCCCTACAAAGCCGGGACGGAGCACGCCGGGTTCTCACCGGACCAGGCTCTCACATCACCAAGCGCGAAGCGCCGTGAGATATTCGGCGAGTCGCATGAAGGGTGCGCTGCATCCTGCTAAGGGTGTTCGGCATCTTGTGCTTACTTCCTTGCGTACGGATGACAGCTGCGTATGAATTAATTTATTTTCTGGTGCTTTCACTTCCAGAGACAGTTGTAAGCACTGTGTAACTGCCTCGAGGGTGCTTGACCATTTCAACACAACGTGGTGCGATCATCCCCCTTGCGCGGAGTGAGGGTTCACCCCGCACAACATGATCTACTCAACCATCATTATGGTTACCGCCCAAAAAAAATAAACGGAGGAAAAAAAAAAAAACGGTAACCTGGTTGCCGAGTTCACGAAGTGAGTTGGCTTGTTTTACAACGTCGTTGCCAAGCGACGAAAACCCAATCCCGATGGCAAACACCGGGGGGGGCGGCTTGGCTTACAACGTCGTTGCCGAGCGACGAAAACCCAACCCCGATGGCAAACACCGGGGGGGGAGGTCCGTTGGGGGGGGGGGATTCCTGGTAAGCTTGTATCGTTGACCACGAAACCCACGTGGGCATCACGAGGGAGGATCACGAAGGAAGGGGGTCTCTCGATACCTTCGTACCAAACAACGCGTCCTTTAATAGCTCGCTTCTCTCGCCGCACTGTAGCTGTCATGCATATGCTCCAAAGTAATGTAGTTGGCGGGTTCCAAATATCCCATTCGAGACAAAAAAAAAAACGGCGATACTACATTGAAAGAAGGCGCTCGGCGTTGCGCGATCTTCTCGCCACGAACAAAACTCGTGGTAAGGTACTCCAGAGCCCGAGCCATCGCCAAAAAACAACACAACGCACCACCGCCGCCACCAACGTCCACGTCACCTACGACATGAGTGCGTGAAACTGCAGCAGTCCCCGATACCAACAATAATACAGAAACGCCACGACAACGCAACCGCCACCTACCACCCACACAACTTCATCAAACTACAACCACCTTCACTCCCACGAACGCAGCGCAACATCCCCCACCAACAACAAACCACCGATGCCGTCCCGCACCTTGACAACGTCGAGGTGGCCCCCGGCGGCTGCCACGATGAGGGGAGTAAAGGCAGTCGTGCTCATCGACCCGGGATCAGCCCCCTTGGCCAGCAACGCCTCCACCGCCTCCAGAGACCCGCTCTCGGCGGCGTTCATGAGGGCCGTCACGTCGTCGTGGTCCTTGGCGCCGACGTCCGCTCCTGCGGTTGATGATGATTGTTGTTGGTGCGGTGGTTTGTTTTGGGAGTGCAAGGGAACAACGGAGCTCAGAAAGCGATCGCGCAGGTATCTCGTTGAGAGAGGGAACATGGGGGCCGGGGCGACGGCCGCTCCTGTATTTCATCAATTGATAGTCTTGCTTGTTTGGCGCGCGAGGAAAAAGGGTCAAGATATAATCGCGTTGGCATCTAGTTGAGATAACGCCGGGGGGTACTCACATTTTGTCCCGTCCTTCGCAAAAAATGAACCTACTGACCTTGGCCCCAAACACCGTGCATTCCTTCGGAAGGATTAGCGGGAACGGGTTGAGAAACACATTCTATTTGAAGGGCGAAAAGTACCGCACGGAACGACTGCAGCGCGGCGGAGAGAAAAACAAAAAAAAACGTGGAAATAACACGTTTGCGCTCAAGTAATGACAGGTGGACTATGGAGAGCCTCAAGTGGTTGTCATTTCCCCAACACGTGCAACCAAAAAGCGCACGAGAGTATACAAAAACCGTCGTCCTGTTGCCTACTTCACGCCAATTGAAAACCGCTCTAATCTCTATCCCTGTAGTCTTCAAACGAAACGAGCGAGCATTCGGGGTCACGAAAACACCTCCCAAAACGAGACAAAAAACAGCAAAACAGAGACGCGGAAATCGCTTGTGCGCAAGTGTGTGACCTTACTTCACAAAACACCCAGACTTCTGGCCAACGGGAAAAAAAATAGCACATCACCTACAAAAACTCAGAAGCCAAAATGCAACAAAACAACACTGCCTGTTGTTGCGCGTGTGCCGGGAAAAGGATGAGTCCCAGTAAACGTTAACACCGTCACGTTTTCAGTGCCGGACCCCCCATCCCCCAGCCGCCTCGCCTCAAAGTGAGCCCTTGGCGCGTCGGACGGGGAAGCGCAAAATCGCGACGTCCGATCTTGCTTTCTTATAATAGTCATTTCACAACCCGGCGCACGTTGGCTTGTGTCGCTTATCAGATGCTCATGTCTTGCAAACTTGCTGCTTTGCTACTGCTGTCGGTACTCTCGGTCGGTGTTGTCGTCCCTTCAACTTCAACACGTTCAACTTGGGTGTTGATTGCTGACTTGATTGCTGTTGCAACATGAATTGCAGTGTTTTGGTTGACGTCGCCATTGCTCATATGTTGCGTTTGATCTTGTTTCTTGTCGATGTGTTGGCAATTTTGTAGTCGTGCAAACATTCACTTCCAACTTCAAAAAACTCCCAACCCCCCCCCCGCCCCGGTTCTTGAGATAAGATACATGCAAACCACACAAAACCCTGAAAAAAAAAAAAAATGAACCTGCTTCGAGGCCAAAGCTAACCGACCTCCGCCGAAAGCACACTTTTTAACACAAAAAGTACAGCAGCACCTTCACACCTGCTTTGAGAAGCATCTCAACGACCTCTCCGTGCCCACCCGCGGCGGCCCCCATGAGGGCCGTGATACCATCGCTGCGGCTGTTGTTGGCGGACGCGCCGCTCTTGAGCAGCTCCTTGAGGACCTCTTTCCGGCCCTCACCGGCGGCCAGCCAGAGGGCGGTCACCCCGGACTTCGCCTCCGCGTCGACCTCTGCTCCCGCCTGTTTCGAGGGGAAGTAGTTCCAAGCGAACGAGCCCAAAAACAATGCGAGCAAAAGACGACGACGACGACGACGACGACGACGACGGTATCAAACAAAGACATACATCTGTCTCTGCTCCCGCCTGCGGAGGAGAGGAGTTCCAAGCGAACGAGAGGCAACAAATTCGACAACCACGATGACAGCTGCATGACAAAATACGCACAGTCTCTCCTCTGCCCTCCTGCCCTCCCTCCCCCTCTCCCCCTCTCTCCCGCCCGACAAGTCCAAACGAACGAGGCAATCACTTCGCGTCACCTCTGCTCGCCGCCCGGCACACGGCACGACCCTGGACCACACTGACAACGGATATCAAAAACATGTTCGACTGTGTGGCATCCCCATGCGCTGATCCATACATCCTGACACACAGGCGCTGAATTCGTCGT